AACCCTCCCTAAGCTCTTGTCGACTCACAGCCTTACAACTTTAACTTTAAACCCTAAACCGTTTACCCCAAACTCAAAAGCTTGAGCTCAACCCCAAACCCCCAAACCCCACAACCACACCACAGGGGGAAGAGGGACCCCACACCCCACCCACAGGGGGGGGGGATCTTGGACCATGGACCATGGGGGGGGGAGTGGGGGGGGGAGCCGCGGAGCGCCTGACCATACATATATATATATATATACACATACATATCGTTCTGGAGTCCAAACGCACATGTACATGCGCCAACAACTGCACTCCCAGGGTGGCCGGTACTGTATGTATGTATATATATATATATATACATGGAGGGATTGTAAGATGTACACTCATTTTCTATACATACGGGTACTGCACCGATGAGTATGTGGTTGAGGTATTGGATCGGCAATGAATTGTCGGAACCCAGTTTGTTTGCACGGTCTCCTGATCGTCCTTCTACCGGTTGGCCGCCGAGTCCCACCATAACACATGTTTAATGGCCCTGCATATATACTCTCGGACCCCAAGTACCCTAAACTACCGTAAGCCTTCAAGCCATCTGCTCCAGCATTGCGGCCCCCTTGTTCCCAGCCTTCAGCCTGAATCTTAAACTGCGACAGTCAAAGTTTCACAAAACGACATCAGCGGTCACTCGCCGGTGGATGCCTGCAGGCCCAGCCCACACCGAAGGCCTACGAGTTCAGGAAGGAGGCCTTTGCAAATCGCTCGATCAAAAAAGGGGGGAGCCGCCTGGGCAGGAGCTGGGACTGAAGTCACATCCGTGATGCCGAAACTCAAGACTATAGAGGACCTGTAGAGCCAAGCCACCGAATCTCACGCCAGAACCTCTGATCTGCAGGCCGAGATCATAGCACCTCGACCTCCTGAGGTGCGGCTGCGGTTCTCTCGCAGATATCTTCGGGTTGCCTTGGGTTTATGGTCGGTTGTTCCTCTGACTGCACGAAGCCTTGAGATTCACTGTCAGGAGCCAGTGGAGGCCGTGAGGCAACCTGGAGGCCTTTGATTTGTGCTGGGCTTGTGGTCTAGAGCCGGTTCAGAGCGATGCTTCCATGAGCATGCATGAAGGCGAAATTGCCGAAGGAGGTCCGGTGAAGCTCAGTACCCATCCAAACACCCGCCGGGCGACGACCGTGAACTGCAGTTGCCGCACCGGCTTCAGTGGCAGCAGGATCAGACGCTCCAACACAAAATCAAGCACTCTCCGCCCCTCAGTGCTTCAGCTTGTGGCAACCCTCTGTAAGGCTTGAACTCAACCTTTGCAGCTTGCTAAGTAGTCGTTGTGGTTGATGTTATTCCAGAACCTGGTTCTGTGCTCTGCGGCCTTGTATCAAAGCCTCGCTATGGCCCAAGTCGCCCGTTTAAACTCCGAAACACCCCCCCTCCCCCCTCCCCCACCCAAAAGCCGTCCAGACCCCAAATCTCTGACCCTTTGCCCGAAGTCTTCGGAGGCTACGACCTCCACTTCCGCCTGGACCTTTCGCTCAACGAGTCGGTTCGACGCGCTTGCGGCCGGCGCCGGGACCCCGAGAGGTTTCAGGGCCTTTCAGGGCCTTTCAGGGCCTTTCAGGTTTCAGCACTGCAGCTTTGCCGACCGGGAGCTATCAAACAACACAACACGAAGTTACAATGCTACTGGTGAAAAGATAGCAACCACGACTTGGCAAGGCAATATCACCTTCAGCTACGAAAAGCTGTCGGGTTGCAAATGATGTGGCCGCGATTGATACTGCGACCAGTGCTTTTACTCCGTAAATTATTACTGTGTTTCAGATTTCCCTCTGGGCGGCTGCACAGTTTCTGCACGGTGTTGGTGATTGTACGCCAATGCACCAATGCAAGAGTTGAGTCCTGAATGCAGATGTTGCGGTAGTCGCATGGTAAGTTAAGATGTTGCGGTTTGCTGGAAACTGGGTGATTAAAAGAATCTATCCACGACCAGCTCATCTGAAATTAATACGACTAGAAAACATCGTTTCTTCTCTTGGTCCAAAATAGACCCTACATGGGTGCAGCTTCTGTGTTGGTCCTTGAAGTGCTCTGGATTGTGGTAGTGATGCTATCCTCTGTGACATCCGATAGAGAGGGCCTCCAAAGCTCAGCTACCCAGGGATCGATCCGACCACGAACTTAGAGTATCACATCGAGGCAGGGTTGCGCCTCTTGTTTCCGAAGACTAGTTCAGGGCTTGCTGCTTGGTTGTTTAGGATCCGTGATCGTTGTACTTATCGTGGGTTATCCTTCTTGAGTGCGTGTGCTCTTTTCTTACCCGGACATTAGGAGCACAAGTTGTTCCTTTCTGAACGGTTGATTGTCTGGGCGATGAATACTGTTGCAGCGGCTGTTTATACCTATGTTAAAGGTCGCTATAACTTGCCGGCACCACCACAATCACCATCTCAGCAACACCAACGCCACCAACACCACCACACCCCACCAGCACCGTCACCATCAACCACCACCGGCAGCAGCACGACGCATGTCCAAGTACTGGCCCCTTGTGATTAGGGTTATGTTGTGTTTGTGATTCGCGCCGCTTCTTGCATTGCTGTTAAGAGCGATGCCGCTACTCTTGCTGTTGCTGTCATGACTGTCACAGGGGTACTACAATTTTCAATAGGAGGCTCGGAGTGTTCGTAATGATACTTGCAGCATGGTTATGATGTCTAGACGCGAGCCCATCATTGTGACTGTTATCACAATGAGGAGGCTTGCTGGTCTTTGTTTGTCCTCACTGCTCGATGTATTCTCAGCCTTTGCAGTTCTCCACGGCTCTACTGATCCGCCCAGCTTTGAGACTGGTCATACTTTTGCGGCTTAAGTTCTGTTGCCAAGCTTTGGCACGGGATGCTGTGCAATGTCTGCTTCGCTATGTCCCAATCTATTGTGGCTCAGAACCCCAGGCTCCCAAGCACCAAATATGGTGCTTGAGCCCCAAGAACGCACTGCCTTTCGGACTGTCCTAATGCCTCGCATGTGTCAGGACCAGCCTCCGCCGAACAAGAAGTCGGTGATTTATGAGAGGCTGGGACTTCCAACACACCAGAAACAAACACAGCAGCATGCGACACGAGTTGTGCGGTTAGGACTTGAGGTAGTTTAGGTAGTTCTACGGGCCGTTACAATGGCCGATAAATAAACATGAGCTTAGCATCAGGGAGTCATAGTTTTCTTGACGATCACAGTCATCTCCGATTCGGCAGATGATCTGGCGTGTGGGGGGGGGGGGCACTGGCTGGCTCGAAGTTTGCATCTAGGGTGGTCTCCCCACACATTACTACCGCCTGTCAAAGCGCAGTCATCCGTCCCCGAGACGGGAACGCCGTCTTCTAATGTTCCAAAACGGAGCTTCAGCCGTATATAGGCCAACTCTCCTAATCCCGAACCCTCCGACCGTTTTTGGTTCGTTGGTTTCATCTAATTTCGTTAATTTGGGCCGACCTGACATCGCTAATTTGTCATGATGACAGCGATCAGTTGACCGTAGTGGTTGCTTCGAACACATCTTCACCACTTCACTCTTCATTGGAGGTGCTTCCAGAGAGGGGCAGTCGTAAACATCGGCCATACATGGGCAATAAGAACAAACATCAGAGCAACGGTCGTGAACATGGTCGTGAGAAAACCTTGCATCCACCCCCGCAACACTGAGCCTCGCCTTGCCCCGCTCGAAGGCTCGAGCCTGCTGACAGCCTGGAGAAGTTCCTCAGCTGCAACGACCGATAACAATACCCCCAATCTCTGCACGTCGTTCACGTCTCCGTGTTCCACTTGCCACCTTTTGCCATTTGCTGAAGGGTATTTTGTCAAGGCTTGTGTTGAGCAAGCTGCTACGTTCGAGGTAGTTTCCTGATGAGGCTACAACCTTTCAGAAGACTCCCGTTTGTTGCCTTAGAGGGAAACTGTGAAAGGAATTCGAACTTTCTGGACAACATGCAGGTAGCCATTCAACCAGATACCCAAAAACGAGCCATCCTGTAAACTCCTACCGTGTGAGCCGCTAATTGAGCAAACCCATATCTTTCTCTTCAACTGACAGGAAACTTATCCTCGAACAATCGCACACAGGTCCATGGGTACGCTGACGCAGCGCATTCACTTATTCGACGTCTCGCAGGAAGAGGTGGGCATGGAACGTTGATATTCTTTCAAAACTGTTATCACACAGCGCTACCACAAGCTTGGTTTCGAGCTACTTGTATCTGCTGTTGCCGCCGAAGACCTTCAGTGAATGGTTGGGTTAGAAGTCAGCAAACGCTTCGCGGACGCCAGCAGTTTTCGATTTGTGCGAGTAAATCTATGTGCTGGTAACGCAGAGCTGCATTTTGGCGGAGCGGAGGCTCACGGAAGATCACGCCAAAAGCATCCGAGAAGCCTTTTGGCGTGCAGTCGCTGTGAGCTTCGGCGCGACACAACCACATAGACGAAGCTCGGAGCTCCCATGCTCTTCCACCTATACAGCTTGCTTTCGTTGGTAGCAGATGGTCTTGTCTTCATCAAGAAGCGAAAAGAAGGCTTGCTTGGTAGCTGCTGCTGTAGCTCGTTCCTTCCGTACCCGGAAAGGAACCATAAGCGCTCAGCAGGTGGACGAGATCTTGGGCCATTTCGGCCCATATCCTGATTTGCCTCGCTTGGTCGAGGTCGGCAAGGGGGTCAGCAGAGCAGAGGATCAACCGGGGGTCTCTTGCGGAGCTTGACTACTCAGGCATAGGAGCACGGTTGCTTTTGGATTTTTGTCGCACAGATGTCCGACGGGCAATTTCTTGAACCAATGGGTTGTTAAGCAGGGCAGTCGCTGTATTTATCTGTAGACGTACGCAGTTTTATCTGCCTGGCTATCTTCTTAGACAACTAGCTAGCACGGAAGTATAGGTATATAGCGAGACAGCTTCAGTATGACCGCGTTCGGTTGTAGGTCATGTAGGTGTGTGTGTGTGTGTATTTTTGTCTGTCTGTCTGTCCGTCGGTCTGTCTGTCCGTGTGTCTGTATGTATGCATGTATGTATGCAAGTATGTACGGATGTACGTATGCATGGCGTGCGAGCGTGCGTGTGTGCCTGCGTAGGTACACGCGTACGACATAGGTATGCATGCACAGTTTGCACGTTGTATGTATGTCTGTGTGTGTATGCCTGTATGCTTGTATGCCTGCCTGCATGCAAAACGTATGTGTATATGTATGTGTATGTGTGTATGTGTGCACGTGTATGTGTATGTGTATGCGCATGTGTATGTATGTATGTATGTATGTATGTATGTATGTATGTATGTATGTATGTGTGTATTTATGTATGTATGTATGTATGTATGTATGTATGTATGTATGTCTGTGTATGTAGTGCATTGCAACGTATGTAAGTGTAGTGTAATGTTTGCAAATGTGCTGTCGCGTAATTCATGTGGTGTAATGCACTATAAAGTAATTAATGTAATGTATTGTAGTGTAATGTATCTCTATGTTAGCTTGTGTATATATGTATGTATGCATTGTATGTAGTTTTGCATGTATATGTATGTGTATGTATGTATGTATGTATGTATGTATGTATGTATGTATGTGCATGCGTATGCAAGTATATGTATGCATATGCATGTACGTGTATGTATGCAAGCATGTGCCATATAGCCGGAGACATAGTCACATACACCAGCACCTGGCAATGCCCGAAAACTGCAAGATAGCGCAACAGCCAACTCCATTGCCAAGATCGATGCCAGCGGTAGTAGCGACTCGACCTACGAAGCGGTCGAGGAGCAGGCAGCCCGGGGTTTAGCCCCGGTGTGGTGGTGGTTCGGCGGGTTACGAAGTGTGGTGTCTGTTGTATTGTGCCTTTTTAGGGAGCTTGCTTCTGAAGGTGTCCTTGATGGATTGATGCGACTTCAGATGAGGGTTCCAGGGTTGGCGGAGATCTTGGCATTGCCATTAAATGCAACACGAAGTCTAATGCGATGCTTTTTGTGCAAGGTCTGATGGTAACGCCCAAGATGAAGTCAAGACCGCTGAACGTGAAGACCTGTAGTCATGTCCACGAGAGACGGGCCCTTGGCAACACCAGGGAAAACACTGCAAACATGAAGCAACGCTTCAGGCGCTCTTGATTTGGAGTTGAATGCTCGTGTCCTTGAGAGATGAACGTACTGCCTTTCGCGGGTAGGCCCTTGAACAGAACGGAACCCTGAAGCGGTAGATGCGGACCGAAGCTTCGCAACCTCTGCGCAGGTGGCCCTTCTCCTCGAGCAGAAGAAGGCGCCCTTCACCTCTGAATCTCGCACCGAGCTCCAGAAGAGCTCCGACTCGAGATTCGCTATTTTATTCGGAGTGAGTGGCTTCGCAACAAAGAGTCGCAGAGCAATTCTGTAAAATCCCGACGAGGCCGAGCTGGCACGGAGAAAAGCGGAGGCGGAGGAGGCCACGTAACCCTGGAAACACTGCGACAGTCAAAGTTTAGGCTTTCGGGTTAACGATGTTGAGGCGCTTGAAACTTACAGGCTTCAGGGTCAAGCTTCGAAATCATAGTGACGTTGGCCCGTGGGATTCTGCTGACGAGAGGTCATGAGGATTTGGGAAGCGACACGATGACCTAGTCATGGTTCCGTAGCTCCAGGCTCCGTACGTCCTTCTGCATGCACCGTGACTCGTTGGTGTATTTCTCTTCGTGTTATCATGTTTGTCTTGCGAGACATCAAAGCCATAGTGACCTTTGTTGCTATGAACATTGCGGGCATAGCAGCATGCACAGCAACTATTCCAATAGCCTCGGCAGCCATGCCGTTCAAAAAGTCGTATCATTCGCCGAAGCAGGAGCATGATCAACAGAGATAGTCATCAAGAACCCCAACCAAAAAGGTCTGAGCGTGTTGGCAGACAGAGTAGCAGTCTCAGCGCCTTCCCGTGTGTGCAGCCCCAAAAAGATACCACAAAGCCTCGAAAAAAGGCCCAAAAAGGGAAGTCCCAGTGAGCAGCGAGCTGCGAAGAGGCCGAGGCCCAGAAGGCCGCCGAGGAGGCCAAGGAAGCGGCCCGGGGACCAAGGGGCGACAGCAGCGCTTCTCTGTTTATTAAAAGTTGGGATGTGGGGGTGTCCGAAAATAGGGGACCCTAATATAGTACCCCAAATAATAGGATCCCTATTATAAGGACCCCAAAATAAGGGACCCTAATTTTCGGAAACTCCCATGTAGGCGTTTATAGGGTTTAGGAATGGGTGAGGTTGACGAGTTGAAGTTGGCCCTGGGAGGGCTCTGAACGGCGTTTCTTGTGGACGTTCGGGGCTTCACTGGTTTCTTTCTTGTTTTGGTATATACGGTTTTCAGCGGTTCGTGCGAGAGCTTGAAGTTTAAGGCTTTGTGGGGCTTGGACGTTTGGCATTATTTTTGTTTTTTTGGGCTTCGGGTGGGTTTCAGGTCTGCGACGTTGGAGCCTTGGGGGTCAGGGCTCTGGCGTATACAATCAGAGCGGATGTATTATTTCTTGAGGGCTTTTGGGTTTAGCATGCCCTCGTTGTGTACATCTGGGGATTTAGGGTTTGAGGCACATCTGATCAGCATGTTGGAAGTGGGTTGCTGGTCTGCTGCTCTGCGGGCAGAGCTAAGACTATGACAGATACCTCTGGAACGGAAATTATGCTGTATGCTCGGGGAAGCAGGGCCGGGAACCCACGCCTGGCTGCTTATTTCCTTCGAAGCGGATGTGGCTTAACGAAGCAGCCGTCAGAGAAATCGTGAAGTAAGTTGAAGCCCATGAAAGCTTTCGGAGGCTCCAGACGAGCCCGCCGATGGAGCCGAGGCATTGCTGGCGCGTTTCGAGAGCTGACCTCAAAATTTCGCAGCTAGACATGAGCACCAGGCGGTCTGTGACAGCGACCTCTGACCTCTACCGTCTTCAAAAAGCCTGTTATGACTCTCTTGCAGAATCTCATCAGACAATGTAGCGTGGTACAGAGCCGAGCGACTGCGCAGCCGACGGCGGACGCCCCGGCTGACCCTGCCCCGGCCGACGATGCACCGGAGGCCGTTGGTACCATGATAGCGGTGGCATTAGCAGCAGCAGCAGTAGCGGCAGTAGCAGTAGTAGTAGGAGTAGTAGTAGTCGTCGTCGTCGTAGTGGTAGGTCGTGCAGGATGTCTACATCTCCCTGCCTAAGAAATACTGGAATGTCGAGGCACGCAGGAGCAGGAGCCAGGAGCAGTGGGAGCAGGAGCAGGAGCAGTGGTAGTGGTACTTCGTGGTGATGGTGGTAGTAGTAGTAGTAGTAGTAGTAGTAGTAGTAGTAGTAGTAGTAGTCGTGGTGGTGGTGGTGATGGTAGTAGTAGTGTAGCAGTAGTAGCAGTAGGAGTAATAGTAGTAGTAGTAGTAGTAGTAGTAGTAGCAGTAGCAGTAGTAGTAGTAGTAGTAGTAGTGGTAGCAGTAGCAGTCGTAATAATACTAGTACCAGTAGTAGTGGTAGTAGTAGTAGTAGTAGTAGTAGTACCAGTACTAGTACTAGTACTAGTACTAGTACTAGTACTAGTACTAGTACTAGCACTAGTAGTGCTCGTAGTAATAGTATCACAAATTCTAATTCGAATACTAGTAGTAACACTATAGCCAAAAGTAATAGAAACAATAATACTAATAGTAAAAATACTACTAATAGTAACCGTAACAATATCAGTAACGATAATACTAATAGTCACAATGGGTGTAGCCATCGAAGTAGTCCTCGTTTCTCGACGCGAAACAGCTGTCTCCTGGCATGTACGCATCACTTAAAGCATGCGCGCCTCGCTGCCGGGGCACCGCTCTTTGGCAAGAACCTGCGGCTGCAAGGATCTTAATATAACCGTTTTCTTGAATCCTCTACTGTCAGGCCGAGCGATAAGGAAAACAGCACAGCCATACTGCACGGGAAAATGAAGAGCGCGCTGTGCTTTGCTCGACCTGGTTGTCTTGACGGCTGGCTGACCAAAAGCTGCCGAAGGGAGCCAAGCACGCCTGAGCTTCGGAAGCCCTGCAGATGTTGCCCAAGCACCGCCGATGCCGTTCCCTGTTTCGGGAAGTAACTGCCTGTGCATAGGGCCTTTCAGACCTGCCACCATGGAAACGACTGACCTTGATGGCACGCAACTCGTCGAACTTTGCCGCAAAAGCTTCCGCAATCGCTCGCTTGCAAGACAGAAATCCATCCAACTTCTGCCGCAGCTGGCGCTCTCGACACACCTTCCGGGTGGCAAATCCTCGAAAGAACTCACATTCCGGGTTATGCTAGGACTTGCCAAAAGAGCATCTGGGGCATTGCAGCTTGTAGTTGAAGTAAACAAGCACGGCTGGGTATAGAACGACCGAAAAGCCAGCTTCCCTGATGGCGCGACTCACTGCCTCGTCAATCATGAGCTCGGATCCGGGCTGATGAACAGTTGGCTAGCACTTGGCATTCGACACTCCATGGTGTTCGCGGCGAAAGTCTTGGGATGTTGGGCCCTTTGTTTGCTGCATGTTTCGGACAAAACGCACAACAAAACCTGCGAGGCCCAGAGGTTGCAAAAATGATGGCAAACCTGTACGTGTTCTTGTTTATGTGTCCGACTTGCTGTCGGACGTGTGTGTGTGTGTGTGTGGGGG